GTGCACATTTCCTGTTAGTCCGAAGACGAGTTGGGGCGCCAGACTCGAAAATTCAATAATTACAGTTACCTTTAGATCCCAAAGAACATCTCCTTCAAATAGGCAAACGCCTTTGAATTCCCTATTGGTACACAGTAGTTAAGAAATGCATCGGCACAGCCGAACATTTAAACGAAGGTCGTTTACATAATTGTAGGCGACTATTCACTTGTTCCAAGTAATAAAATCACATGTGCTGATGTTAGTTAACACGAGCCAGCAGGTGTAACTGAGTAGAAAGAGCAGTCGGTTGAGAAGAAGAAGACTCGATCGCTGGGACAATATGTTTATTCGCCTGAAGTTTCGACATCAGTCGTGGATTCATTATCAGAGACATGAACAGTATCAGAAACGGGTAAGGCATGCACAGAAGTTTCCTCATCGTACGGTAACACCGGGGAGCCAGACGGCCGAGCAATCATCATGCCCGAGCTCATCGCCCGTGACGAAAGTTCAACAGGTCAGAGCCCGCGTGCCGTCCAACAAGCAACGTGATGAAAGTTCAACAGGTCAGAGCCCGCGTGCCGTCCAACAAACTACCCACTCGCAAGAAGGCAAGTAACTTTAATTGTCGCTGTATGTTTGCAGTACTGACTGTATCCTATAAATACTGCAAACCTCTGTGCATGCCTTACCCGTTTCTGCTACTGTCCATGCCTCTGATGATGAATCCGCGACGGATGTCGAAACGTCAGGCGAATGAAAATATTGTCCCAGCGATCCAGTCGTCTGCTTCTTCTCCTCAGTTGCTTCCTGGGACACGCATGTTCGCTTGTATGGGCAATTTATAAGATCAGACAGTAACAAAAACTCCTAAGGGTAATTAAAGAGGGAGTGCGGGAGATGCAGCACAAGACGTGAAATGCATTCATGCGTAGGCCGCCGTCCGGGCACCATCACGCTGGCGTGTGGATCTAAAAATCAGCCTTGAAATCAGGAGAGTAGTCACAGTGGATAATTTGTGCAAAGCAGATAACTTCTTACAAGCCAGAGAATCTGAGAGAGAAATCTCCCCACCGGCTGGCTGAAGCGTTTCCGTTCCTGAACGCCGCGACAACCCGGTTATCACAGCACCCAGCGAGGATGAGTCCTCATTCAGAAGGAGAGAGTAGCTAACGGGCGATGATCCAGAAAAGTGAAAGTCGGGTGGGCCTGCCGGTTGTGTGTTCTCCGGTGTACCCAACACCACAGGGAAGGGAATGGAAGAGTTGCCGGCGGCAGGTGAGGGATGCATGAGGTCCAAGTGGCAGAAGTCGTGAGGTCGCTCCTGCTCCCGCTGATTCTGCTCCTGGTGAGATGACTGTTCAGTGATATGCTGGTCTCCGACCTCTTCAGACGAAGATGTGACAGGTGGAACAGTGCGCATTATGGCATTGAGCAGAGACTTCATTGTATCACTCGTGGAAGACTGGTTTGTGTACCCATCAAGTGACAAGAGGGGCCCACAGTCTGGCTGTGGCAGGGAATCAAGAGTGTTTTGGTTAAGTCTCATGGCGTCGATAGCGGTTGTTGTCGAAGGTGTGGTAGACACCGGGGAATTAATTCCGGCCTGATTAGCCTGCCACAATTCGAACAAAAAAGGAAGGAAATTAGGTGAAAGATGTAGGAGCTAAGATTACAATTGCAGTTAACAGGAATATCAGGTAAGCTGCAGCTTGCTTTACCTCCGTACACGATTTATTTTGTAGCCATGCCAAGTTTTCTCAAAGGGAGTAGAAACATACGTATGAACTGGAAAATCGGCATCCCAAGAAGTATAATTCGGTAGAATTAGATGCGGTCGACAATTAGTTCTTGACCGACCGTATAATTACATGCGGGTAACAACTATTTTCTTCCCCACTGACCGTATAATCACATGCGGGTGACAATTACCGATTTTTACCCCGACCCACTATATTGGCCTCTGTTAGCCATTATTGTGGATTAACTGTTTCGTACGATTCCCATCCGTCTGATGACGACCTGGTGAGCCAGTTTCGAAAATTCACTCAATAAAAAATTTCCTAAAGAACCCCGTCTACCGAAGAGTAGAAACAGCTAGTTAACCAGAAGGTATGGGCGTCCGATTTGCCGTTATAAGCCTATCTATGATCGATGAATTGTGATAGGACTACACCATTTAACCCTGCCCAACCGTACAGTTTTCATTACCCTGCAAATGTTTTGGCCTGATGATGATTTGATTAAAACATATGTTTGCAACTTGACTTCTCAAATATCTGTGATCTGTTTTTCTATCCTAAAACATGAAAAGAAACTTGAGTTTTACCATGTGGGTGCAAATTTTTTTCTAAATACCAATAGTCTACATTTAATTGGCCAATAACGTCTGGAATCATGTGATAGAAGCAGTGTAGTTAGTAGACAAGGATAAAAGTGAAAATTTAGGTTTTGAAGTTGGGCACTTTGATTATTAATTCCATTTAAGTGCCTGTTAGGATAGGGGTCAATGCACCAGTGCGTTCGGCAGTTAATGAAAAGATGGTTTTTCTTACTAATCTGGGAAATCGGCAGTAAAAGAATCGAAAAGCAGCCTAAAATACTGGTTTTGCTTTGTCCACTCTGTCTTTCATGAGGGACAACCCCAGTAATTAAGAGAATACCGCTACGAGGAGTCAGGTGTGTCTGTCCAAGTTCTAAAGGGATGAAGGAAATTGGCTTTGTTCCAATTTTAAATCAGTGTGAAAGGAGGTTTTACCACTTTTTTTCCAACTGGAGGACAGAGCAAGTGTTCAATTTCACTCAGGAGCTGGGGGCTGGGGGGGGGGATTTAGTCCGCAAAGAAGCAGTCGTCTTATAACGAAAGCCTATCTGTCGACAAGAATAATCAGCAAAAAAAACTCGAAGGAGAGGTCGGTTATTTAAAGCTTAATTACAGCGGTTGCTAAGAAGACTCCTATTTTGAGGATGGCACAGTTGCCAACTTAGTTCTACACTGAGCCCACGCTCTGTTGACTTAAAATAAATCACAAATCGTCATTTTATTCATTCCGACAACGAGATTTTGTTGGGAACAGTAGCGTGGTCAATCATGCTTCGACTCCTAAACGCGCAGAGCTGCATCAGCCTTATATGTGAGACGGGTTCGCTCCTATTAAAGAAGCCCGTCTGACCTACACTGGTTTGAGGCGACCCTCTGAAAGCATGTGAGACAAAAAATGCGTTTCTTGGTAAAATTCTCTCTGCTACATGCGCAATTCGAATATGCTTGAACGAGGAGATTAATTATTCAAAGGTGGGAGGGAACACTCGGGTGGTTGGTGTGTTATTCATGTATTTAGGAAAGCCGGTCTACCGATGGAATCAAAAGTCTGAGCTCTGTGGATCACAATGGAATCTAGCGTGGACTGATCAAAGCCTCGAGGTCTGACGAAAATTCGGGCAATAGGCATAACGATTTGTTGGCCTCTCGCAGTGGCCTACGAAACCGACAAGCGGCTGGAAAAACTGGCTCAAAGCAGTCCTGTCTATGGCCACTGTTCACTTCTGGTGATGCATTGTCGGCTGGAGAATGAAAGACCGCAGAAATAAACCCACGGGATTGTCCCCCCCCACGCTCCTCTATTAAAGGAGGCTTTGCGCTCACTTTCATTGGGTTACGACTGAGGTTAGGATCACAGGTAAGTTTGGAACTAGGATAAGAGAATAGGTACCCTCAGAGGAATTTAGCATAAAATCACCGATAATATGGAAGGGGCACCTACTTCCGTGTTTTACCATGGCAAACTTCACCAACTTTCGAACAAAAACTTTGTGTACCCAGTTTCGACATTGAATAAAAAGGAGAAGTGCAATTGTTTGTACACTATGCATGAGAAAAAACGAACTACCTGTTCTGCATCTGAAGTCCAAGTGCACCTTACACTGAATGGGGCTACGACCGTGTTCCCATCCGCCCTCCCGGCGGCCAAGATCTGCTACACCCATCTCCCTGGGCTACGACACACACACTAGGTACAGCGCGATCGACCAATTGGGCCTATTGCGAAGATATGTGCATTCTTCGATTCAGAGCACAACTATTCGTTCAAAGGCATCCTGCCATGTAGCAGGGAAAGAACATAAAGCAGGGTAGCCAGGTGCGGAAGGCGGGTAAATCAAAGCCTTCGGTAACCAAGCCTTTGGAGGAGCGCATAACATCTACCGCGCAATGACTGGGAGAATATTAAATGACGAAAGGCTGTCCGTAGATTTTGGGTGGCGGACGGCCGGCGTTGGAAACAGTGAGAGATTGATAGGCGGACTGATGAGATACGTGCGCGTCGTAAAAGTTAATCAACCTTCTGCGTTTTTTAAATTTTAGAGTGGATTGCGAACGCCTGGTATGTGCACTGAGAAGGGTTTTGAACAAACCCAAAGAAACTAGAAGCTATCAAAGCAAGAAAGTCAGACTAGACTACTGGGGATGAACAAAAGCCATAAAGGTATACACTTCGAATGGGTTCCCTGACAATATGTGTGGTGTTTTCTCCAATGGAGCAATTTTAGCTGAACCGGTGAAGATGAATTCGACTGTGGAGAATTTACTGACAACACTACGTCCGTAGGTCGATGAAAGAATGATGTGGTGACGAAATGCGCATCCGGACTATGGACGGTGGTAGAGTTCACGTCCGCATTTGGGCTGTAGTCTAAACTTCAGGACGTAACAATTAAATCAAATCAATTCACTTTTCTTGTTGTTCCGTATTGATAGACTCCACACGAGCGGTAAAATTGGGCTTAGTGTGCTTAAATTTACGGCGCGCGGCGCGGCGTTGTAGCTCAAGTAGTAAAGCTTTGGCTGCGTAAAGGCCTTCCCTGCTATGCGGGCTCGACTGCCGCCGACGCCGTGAGTTTTTTCGCAATCGGGTTAAGTACATTTTATGGAAGGGTTGATGACCGGCGTTACATGGGCAGAACTAAAACTGCACCTACCCAAATGCCGTCAATTTGGCCGGGATCGAGTTCCCAAGATAACAACGATCCAGTTGGTTGATGCTCCATCGTTCAGGATTTCAAATGCACCCAGACTATCAGATGCCTCCACGGCAAGCTAGATTTCTTAACCTCAATGCAATAAAGTATGCTTGGGATAACCTCCAAATGGATATTTCCAGGGCAATGAAGATACGCATGAGTTCTCGACTCAGACCCACCCTTTTGACTGTCGGGAACGTGATACAACAAGAAAGAACCTAATATCACGCCAACAGCATGTAGACAAGAATGGAAGCTGTGATTATGTACGTCGGTAGCTCTAAACAGCACTAATGAGTTAATTTGTCCGCTTTGTCTTCGATTAACTTGCTTTGAGGATGATCAGTAAACAAATAGTGGAGCGAGTATGAGTGTAAGTTAATATTAACTGACTTGGCACACTTCATTTGGGGATTACCTTTCGGCCAACAGCGTATGCCTTTAATTCTTCAACATAAATGTGGACAATAAGCGGGCAGCTGAGAGTGTGCATACTAGCCTGAGGGCACAAAAAACGTATGCGGTAAAAACCAGTTCACACACCTCAATCTTGTAGGGGTCAGTGGTCGTATCCAGGGTATAATTCACACGGACAGAAGGCGCAAGAACGGCGGCGGCAAAGGTA